ACACACACACACACACACACACACACACACACACACACACACACACACAGAGAGAGAGAGAGAGAGTCCCCCCCGAAAATCACCCCCGACCACCCAACTTTTTTTTTAATGCGCAACACCCCCCACGACATCCCCTGCCTATGCGCAACCCCACGGCGCGCGCGCGCACTTCTTTTGACGAGCGCACGCGCCTCAAAAAGCTTTGAGAGCGTTTGAGCGCGGCCATGGGGTCTTTAAGTGCGCGCGCTCGCGTGTCGCTGAAACGGTTTCACAGCGCACAGACGCACTCCAATCATTTCAGTGGGTGGGGGGACACGCAAACACGTGTTGATACAGGAGAACAATGCACCGATTTCGAGAAATTTTACATATGCAGGAATTCACTGGAAAAGACGATTCTTCATTACAAGAAGAGATCATATTCACGCTAATATCGCACTTCGTGCCTCCGCGGTCGAGATACTCCTGTGGGTGTCGACGCGCACTATGAAGATGTGCGTCACACACGAACACATGGAGCAAGCAAAACGAGCAAGCGAGCTAGCCAACAAAAGTGAGAGAGAGAGAGAGAGAGAGAGAGAGAGCACTAAGTAGCCTGCCTTGCTGTGCGCTACGCCCGTCTACTTCATCTTTACGCAACAGTTCTCGCACTCGGCTTGGGGTCTTCCCCAGCACCGGAAGTCTTAGATGCCAGCGTGTTCTTTTCCAGGTTTAGAAATTAAATGACGTGGAAACTCGCTCGCCTGCCAGACATTAAATACGTACTCTATATACATAATTATAATGATCGTTGACTGACCAGTTCCACAACTGGGTAGGATTCCCATTGAGTTCCATCAGCAAAGTGCTGTTGTACATACACACGTCCGATCGCCTGCGTCGGTGATGTCGCCAGTTCTTCTTAGCTGACCACGCTCAGTGACGCGCCCCGGACAATGCAATGCAGCTGCGGACCGATAAATTAATCCACTGATCTCCAAGCTGAGCCCCTCCCGGTCGCTCATTCTGCTTCTCTCCAAGTAGCTTGCTGATGTCGAACGACCGCCCCCCCCCTGTTGTTGACGCCTGGTTAAATCAGCTTAGGTCATGCTCACATTACGACTTTCTTCTGAACTGGACCTGGGTGCATTTGCCGCCAGATGCTCCAGAAACGGTTTAATACGAGTATGCCCTTAGCACTTCTTCCAGAGCAAACCAAAACCGGCATTGGTGACGGTAATCGAGCCCTTGTTGTTTAGGACGACCAAGGCCTTGTTGTTGTTCTTCGGCGGCAGTGGGGGCACTACTGTTGCCTCGAAAAGGACATTGAGCAACGCCGACTCAGTGCCACACGGTGCATAGACAGAGGTTGCGAAGCTGTCGGAGAACTCAAAATTGCCTTCGACAGGAGGAGGCAAGCTGCGCGAGGATCTGACTGTCCCTGGGAAACCCACGAAGTAGTACCCGGCTCTCAGTCCACCCTTGACGCCTCCCTCGAATTGGGCGGACCCTCGGAATTCCACAGTCGTCACACTAAACGTGAACCCAGCAGGATAGCTCAGGCTGACGCCCACTTGGCAGTTTTTCCGCTGGTCAGCAGGACGTCCTGGGGTGAACACCGTGAACTTCGTGAAACCCAAACTGGAAATTCCGTCGGGGGAGATTACGAGCTCGAGACTTCCAAACGGACAGCCAGTGCCACTATAGGTCCAGCTCTCGATCTGTACCGTACCAGATGGAGGACTTTGAGCAAGTCCAGGAACGGCAAGCTGGAGAAGCCCCAGCAACAGCACGACCACCATCGCCGCCATCGTAGACACGGACTCGAAAACCGTGTGCCTGATCCTCTTCATCCACGCCTTCCGCCTCACCTTGCTCTTGTCTCCGCGCGCCCAGCGACAGATGAGCGGTTACGACGATGGCAGCAGATAACGCCCTCCCCAATTCGCCGCTCCCGGAGCTGTTCGCCTGGAGTCGCCCCTTCAAGTTGAGCTCCCTCTCCTCGGCTGACATGCCGTGGAGGAAGAGAAAGCCGACGTCACTTCTCGGAGCTCCCGCCTGCGATCCCCAAAGACCGCCCACGATCAGTAAGCAGATCGCAGCGCACTGTACGCAGAGGTCGGTTCGAGGAGGAAAGCAGCTCACAGGCATACCCTCTGGCAGTGTGGAGAGGACATGCGGATCAAATAAATTAAGTGGAAGATAAAGCTATAAAGCTGCAACGAAGACCCTATTTTTGCAAAGGAAACTTCGAACGGACGACATTTTTGCTGCCAAACTTCGAAAATCAAACAGCAATATTTTTGAAATTAACCCCATGCGGATCAAATAAATTAACCGCAAGATAAACTGGAAAGCCGGCCGGACGCCACGCGTCCAGTGTCGAAACGAGAGAAAGAAGGAAGGTTGCAAGGTTGCACCTCGCTCCACTACTCTCGACATGCACGAAAGACAAAAATCATGGCCGTGTATCCCTCCAAGTTGTAGCGGAAGATTCACTCTTGTTTTGCGCATTTCGAGGGTACCGTCTTCCCCCGAACACAACGCACCCTCATTTTGGCTGTAACTGGCCGGAAATACAGCTTGTATACATTCATTTTTAGGGTGTGTTATGTTCGGGAGAAGACGGCAGAGGAAGGGAGACCCTTTGGAATGCCATCTTATAGTTTTTCCATCCACTTGCAGATCATGCACCTGCCCTTTTTGGTCTCGCAGTAGGGAAAATACACCTTCGCGGCAGGGAACATACTTCTCCTCATAC